TTTTTGATGATGATCTGTAGGGAGTAAATTTTACAAGGGACACAAAAGTTACACACATTTACATTTTTTTAGAAATTATTTCTAAACTGTTTTAGAAGTTGGCAATTATTAAAACTTCAAACATTTTACAAGTTTTTTTTCTCGTTTTGACTAAATAATGATAAAATGTTGAGCGTCGCAAATTATTTTTTGATGATGATCTGTAGGGAGTAAATTTTACAAGGGACACAAAAGTTACACACATTTACATTTTTTTAGAAATTATTTCTAAACTGTTTTAGAAGTTGGCAATTATTAAGACTTCAAACATTTTACAAGTTTTCTTTCCCGTTTTAGGTAAATAATGATAAAATGTCGAGCGTTGCAAATTACTTTTTGATGATCTGTAGGGAGTAAATTTTACATGGAACACAAAAGTTTCAAAACAAAGTCATCGAGTGGCAGAAGATGTGAAGGTGTACAAAGGATGACAAAAACATATTTTTTTTTAAGTGAAGATTGATTGATTTATTAGTATATCTCGAATAATGGCATTTTCGGAGACGCTCTTTACAGATGAGACAACAGCGACATTTTGCGACTTCCGGTTATACCGGAAGTTGTTTCAAATTTACATATTTTGAATGGAACATTATACAGGGTGCACCCTGTATAATTTAAATTTTTGCTTATATTCGTTTGTTTATTTTCAATAACTTTTATGAGTTTTCCTGCCCTACTCTCCGTTTCTGAGCAAAATACAGTTTTTCTCAAAATTTTATAATTACGTCTTCGCCTAAAATTGAATACGTTTGCAAAGATGAAAGAGTGAAACTCGAAATCTCAGTTGCAAAATTCGATATTGTTGTGCACGGTAATCAATTATCCGAAAAATAAATCTAGATATAGCAAGGTGGAAAAATTTAAATTTTTATTCTGTGACAAAAAAAAATAAAAACTTTATTATTGATTTGATTGATTCAGTATGTGGTATTTGCATAAGTTTGTGGAATGGAATTATTTGAATAACAAAAAATATTTGTATATTTGATTTGGATGCCCGAAAAATTATACCGCACTTAGCACTACTCTTAAAATTGGGGTATGCATGTTCAAATTAAGTACCTATTTTTGTTGCGTTCAAAAAGTGTATAATAAATATTGACGATAAAAAAGAAAGTTGACGGCGCAGTAAATGTAAAGGTGTGACTTTGTTAAAACCCCGTACAGCAAATTGCAACAGCAGCGCGCCAGACATAGTCTGAACTAGATTAGTTTAAATTCTAAAAAAAGTGTTCTTCAAAAACTCTTACTTTAATTAATTTTCTCACGTTTACCACAACAAATAGTTTCCTTCTTATTTTAATACTTTTATTTGTTTTATAACTATAATAAATAATTTCACTGAGGATTTGGAGCTGATGTTTTTTAAAACCTTTATTTTGTTTGGGTCTGTACGTGTTAAATAGGTGATAAATTTTATTTATAAACTTACCCATGAAGCCATTGAGGCATTTGCACTCGTACGAGTTGACTAGATCGACGCAGGTTGCGTTGTTCTCGCACTTATTGTCGATGCAGTCGTTTACATTTGTTTCGCATCTAAGACCGGCAAAGCCTGGTAAGCATTCACAACTAAAAAACACATTTAATTTTCAGTAACAATTCCAAGCGTGTCAATGCTTCTTACCTAAATCTGCCTTCTTCCAAAAGTTTGCACGTTCCTTGCATGCAAGGATTGCCGTAACATGCATCGATCATAAACTCGCAATTTTTTCCATGAAAACCTGGAGCGCATTTACATTCGTATTCATGTTCGGGCATTGTAAGACACTTTCCGTTGTTCTGGCAAGGGAAAGTATAGCAGGAATCGCACTTTGATAGAATGTCTGCAGAAACTTGACCTGCAAATTAAATGCTATAAGCACTACTAAGTCCTCATTGCGTTCGTGTTTACCTTTGCAGATGAATGCGGAAGAAGGAGTGCTCAATATGGATTTGTCCTTCATGTTTTGAGGCTCTGCACAATGGGCTATTCCAGGTTCGACGTAGTCAACTTTTACCCAGTCCGAAAGCCATCGGAGCGAACAGTCGCAGTAAAGCGGATTTGAGCCCAAGGCACTAGAGGAAGACTCGGTGAGTACTTTTTCAAAACAAGTATAAGTATGCTTACATGTGACTGATGCTTTTTAATCCGGCAAACGTTCCCTCCGGAATCAAGCTCACCTGATTACCATGTAAACTTAATATTCTAAGCGATTTTAAGCCTTGCAACGACCCTCGTTGAATACACTGCAGTTTATTGTAGCTGATTATCAGAGTGGATAATTTTGATAATGTGGCAAACGTCATATTAGAGAGCATCGTAATTTGGTTGTTGCTCAAGTCCCTAAATATCAAAAGATATTTGATATTGAACAAGATGCGATCTAAGTCGAAAAAACTTACAATCTAGTGAGGGATTTTAAGTGGCTAATTCGATCGGCTTGGATGCGCTTGATTTGATTGAAATCCAGGTATAACTCGGACGTCTCAGCAGGAATTCCCCTAGGTATTTCTTTCAAGCTAGCCCTAGTACATCTGACCACAGTCCCTGAAAACGAACAGGATAGCGATTGTTTTTTATTTGATTTATCCTGGATTTTAGTTTGACGATATATTCAAAAGCAAATAATACGATAAGAAAATATCGGTTCACAAATAAATACAAATGAATATATAAAAACAAATAAATATCACTGTTGAGTTAATTATTGTATTAGCTAAACACAACAGGTAATACATAATTTTAAATCAACTAATTCAGAAATAGTTAAAGTGTGATTGGGGCTTGTTAAATTTTTAGAAAAAGCACTCTGAAATAATTGAAATTTCAAACGCAGACAGAGGATTTTTAATGGCCACTTTTCACTTATAATTCGCTAATTATTTTACATTTCAAATGGAGTTTATCATGTTGACTAATCTAAAAAATAATTAATGTTTCATATAATACTTTGTATTTTACAATACATAGACAGAAATATCGGCTATCGACTGTTCAGTAAGTTAAAAAAAAATTCAAATAAGCCAATTCCAGAAGAACGGCGGTTTTACTGTTTGCCGCCTTTATCCTCGAGCACCTGTTAAATTTGCATAAAGTATTTTCGAAAATAGTAGATTTATTAGTACTTTAATCTCGCAGGTAATTAACATGATATTTTAACAGTGATAACTTTTGACGTTATTTATAAGCATCAACTTTTTACAACGTATTTGTATTACATACAATCGTTAATATTTGTGTTAATGCAAAATTTGATGATGCCATTAACATTGCTAGACATAATTGAACCGTTCAGCGCTGTAATGGACTTAACATATTTTTTCCATATATGTGTTAATGGCATTAATAAAAATCGGGCGACATAGTTCAAGGCAAAAGTAGTTTTAGTCAGATTTGTTTAATATTCGCCTTGTGGCAGCACTTAGTCGTTTATTCAGTTAAATGAGCATTTTTCCTTATTTTAAATCGCTTAAAACTTCTTTAAATTTTAAATAATTTCCAGTTATTTCATACTAAACGCGTTCATAATTAGGCCATGAAATCAACCCTTGTTTTATACGCGTCAATAAATTTCATTAGAGTCTCCTGAAATCTGATCACCCGCTAATGAAGATTTTTAACTAACCATAAAACCATAACATTGGGCCTACTTATAAAATTGGACCCTTAAAACCTTTTTTAAATTAAAATAAGTAGGCTTGTTCAAATTTTGCTCTATTAACGAAGGACAAAGTTTTAGTAAAATATATCAATAGACTAAAATATTCTTGTTGTGCGTTTTCTCAATTATGAATTACACTAAATAGTTTTTAAGGAAAAATAAATTCCTGTGGTTTTGCTTGGAGGCCAAATATTCGATTGAACATATGAAATTTATTATCCTTATTTTAGAAACTACATCTTTTGAAACAACCTGGGTGATGAAAGTTTATTATTTTTAAATACAGAGTTGAAGAGGGTCTGGAACAATGCCCATATTTTGGGAATGATTTTATGAGCTTACATATGATAACCGAGACACAAATAAAGATATTTTTTTAGATTTTCAAGGTTTTGGAATCATAATTGCATTCCTTACCTACGGAAAAATGTTAATATATAATGTAAGGAAAAAAGATATGAGCTTTATTAATATATAAATTTTAGAATGCGTATGGGGTTCTTAAGTGCGGCACTCCATTCAGATATCGCCAGTGTTTAAACCCGCCCCAGATAACGCGATATGCAATTTTAATTCCTAGTTTCTCCAAAAAAATAAAATAAATGTGAGTGGCAGTCGCCCTCTAGGCGATATCATAAAACTTGAGCTTTTTTGAGAGCTTTAAGAGTTTAGCTTCGCTCAAAATTCCTGGAATCGACTTTGTGCGGATTTCAATAAAATTAGACGAATTTATTAAAAACATTTGAAATTGTGGAGAACTGGTAAAAAACACCCTTGCATCTGGCTAAATTCTGTCATTTTAAATTTGATTTTCCAACTCAAACCCATCTAAAACGTGAACACGGATATCCCCAAGAATGCGTGGAATTTTCATTCACTTGATAGCAGACGGGAATCCCACTCTGGCCAATAGAGAGCGGGCTGGCCCGAAGAATTTCGAACGCGCCAATAAGAGTGTTCTAAACCGGTTTCGATGCGCAATAGTACCGGATTTTATTCAAGCGAGCACGGTGTAGTACCGTAAATTTTCTCATGAATGGAATACCGGAGCGTCTTATTTTCCATTGATAATTGTGGGAGTTTGCGCATGCTGAATGAAACCAAGTCAGATGCTTGGGAATTTTGAATACTTGCTGCCCCAAAATAGACTATTTGAAAATGATTTTGATAATTAATGCTAGTTTAATGAAAATTAGGAAATTTGAGAGAATCAGATATTAGATAAACATACCTGGATTAAAGCGATAATAACGTTTAAAGCCGGTAATTAATAGGGAAATAGTAACAACAACGACAGAACAGATAAAGAGTAACAACAAGAGGTAAACAACCTATATAAAGCGATTTCCGAAATATTAAATAATATTTTTTTTTGCCTAACATCGGTATGTACATAACTTCCAGAAATTTTGTATTTCAACACAATTTGGATACATGAAAATTTCAAATTTTGCTGTAAATTTCACGGGGTGTCTTGAAATTAGTGAGTCTTCTCTCTAAGGATACAAATTAAATAGCATTGCCTTCAATGGAATCCTGTATCTTCTGGAATGGAACTATGTGCAAAGCAAGTGCAGATAGTATATATGCAATGCTTCAAAGTATTTGTCAACTTTTCAGTCAGCCAAGAAAAATAACTTTGTTTAAACAGTTTTGCAGACATTTTCATTTTTTCCGCGAATTGGACCGCAATAATTTCCTTTCAAATCAATCAAAAACCTTTGTAATAACACATGTAAAATAATTACCTGTACAAGAACACATCGGAGGGCAGTAGTTATCACCTAAACATCCTTGGTCATTTTCACTGGCGCATTTAAATTCGGTTTTAGGCAGCTCTTTAATTAACACATCTTTAACGCGCTCCGGAGCTGAACATCGCGGTGAAGATCCACTAAGGCCTTTATTTTTTAACCATTCGGAAAACCAGGCCAAGTGGCAGTTGCAGACAAATGGGTTTTGAATTAGGTTTCTGGAATAAAGAAAAAACAATTATATTTGTGCCACTGCTAAAATCAGACACTTACAGGGTGTGTAGAGATTGAAGGGGATCAAAAGATCCCGGCATTACACACGTGATCTGATTGTTGTTCAGGGACAAAATTTTTAAATTGTGCAAGCCTAAGAACATTTTGTTGTGGATTTCCATGAATTTGTTTTCCGACAAGAGCCTGAAATAGTTCAGAATAGCTTGAATGGCCAGTTTAGGGTTTGTTCAGTCACTTACAGTTCTGATATTTTAATGGCACCCTCAAAAGCATTTTCTTCTATACCAGTTATCAGGTTTCCGCGTAGATCCAGTTTAACTAAATTGGGCAACCGTCCAAAAAGGCCATCAGACTTAATGCGACCTAATTCATTATCATTTAGTAACCTAGATGAAACGAAACGAATTCATTTTTAATGAGGTGGAGGTTTTTGTCGTTTACTCACAATTCGGTGGTGTCCAAAGGAATATCTCGAGGTATTTCTTTAAGATTTTTTCCTGAACAATCAACCACGGACGCCTCACAAGAACATCCAGCTGGACATTCATTATCTGTTAGACATTCTCCAGCATATGATGTTTTAAACTCGTCTTGGCCTAAATATTAAAAAATAAAAAATAATTTAATCGGATGTTTTTTATTATTTTATTCGTACTATTTGTATAAACTCCGCTAAATTTAAATTTTGAATGTTTTCCGTCTTCAAAACCTATTCTAGTGTTAAGCAGTAAACTAAGAGGAAACAATTTAACAATAAACCGTAGCAAAACTTCATTTTGTGCAATAATTTCAATAATTGGGACGATTTTATTACCGTTTCTCTTACATTTGAATCTCTCGTCCTTCAACGACTCTATTCGCTTGCGTTGCATTTTTTTCGGCGATTCGCATTTCGCCCCGGACGTTTCAACGGGATTTTTGTGCAAATAATCTCCTAGCCATTGCAAATTGCAATCGCAAATAAACGGGTTTTTGGCTAAATGTCTGAAAAATTGACTAATTATGAAACTTCCTTGGAACTGCGGAGGTTCGCGTACTTACAAAGTGTGAATACTTTTTAGAGCCTCAAAGCTGCCATTAGATAAGGTTTGGATGTTGTTGTCGTAGAGGGACCTGAAAAAACATTTAGGTTGCACTTGATCAACTCTTGGAGCAGAACGGTATGAAACTTACAAAAGACCCAAATTGTGAAGATCTTTGAACGCGTCTTTCCGGATGCAAGAAATATCATTTGCATTTAAAAGTCTGGAAAACGAAACATCCATATTAACTGTTTTAGAGTGAGAGTAAATAGGAAATTACTCACAATAGTTGTAGCGATGTTAGTCCTTGGAAAACACCAGAAGACAGTTCCTTAATTTTGTTCCCATACAACACCCTAGAAAAATGTTTCAGTTAATTTATTATTTGAGTTTCATTATTTTCAGTCGCTCTTACAGGGATGTTAGTCCTTTTAATCCTTGAAATGCGTCCGGTGCAATTTTTGATATTCGATTATTACTCAGATCGCTAAAAATGAAAATTTGTCATTGCGGGATAAAAGTATAATAATTTCAGATACATACATGCGCCTCAACCTTTTGTAAACAGAAAATACTTTGTGCGGAAGATGCGTTATCAGGTTCTGCTCTAATCGTCTAAAAGGAGAAAAAGGCCTTCATAGAATTGATTTAATAGGAAAAGTTGCAAAGGTTTTACATTTCGGTGGTGGTTTCGGGCATATAGTCAGGAACCTGGGTTAAACCCTTTTCTCGGCAATCAACTATACCATCTGCACATCTGCATGGATGGGGACACTGAGACTCGCTAGCACATTCTCCATTTATGGCTTTTTCGGCTAAACCTAAGTAAATTTTTTTAATAAAAATAATTGACAAATGATGACCCTGATTAGCTGAGACTAATTTCCATAAACGATTTACTGCAGCTTATTGTCTATAATGAATAGATTTAATTTCTTACCTGAACACTTAAACTCATGATCTTGAACATCAGCCACGTTTTGTCCTTTTAAGTGACTTGGAGAATAGCATCGAGTATATTGCGCTAATCGGCTTGAACGTCTCAAATATCGTCCTAACCAGGAAAGATTACAATCGCAATGTAGCAGATTATCTGCCAGTCGTAAGGTTCGCAAGTTAAATACGTTGGCAAACATGTCTTTGCCCAGCCATGTAATGTTGTTGTTGTTCAATGTTCTATAAAAGAAAAAGCACTTTGATTGAAGTTAGAACTTTCCCCTACAGCTTTAAAAGTATATCTAAATAAGTCAGCCACTTACATTACTTCCAAATCTTTCATCTCTCGGAGCGCTGAATCGTCTATGCATGTTATTCGGTTATTGTCCAATTGCCTAAAAGAAGCGAACTTGGTAATGAAAGCTTTTACTAATCGTACAAGAAATTTTTGCTTACAAAGTTTTAACCCCAATGATCCCTTTGAATGTAGTTTTGCCGACTACAGCTATCTCATTGTGGCTCAAATCCCTGAAAAAGAATATTTTTTTAGCGAGTGAACCATTTTATTTTTCATTGCATTACCCAACACCCAACATGTAAAGCGTACCTAGGGGTTAATATAGCCGATGAACATGAAACGTAGACGAGTGAAAATGTACATAAAACAGACATTATTTTATGTGAAATATTTTTGGGACGCATTTTGATGAGCTTTATGAACGGGGGCGTCGCAAAATGTGCGAACATTAGATATTTATGTAGATATGTAATTGGGGTGGACCTTTCCATAGTAAATTAACAATTATTTACTGTTATTTTCTTGTCTTTTATTGATGAAGGAAAATGGCAATTACTTGATTATGAAAAAGTTATGAGCTGTTTTCTAAGTTTAACACACTTTTTTAACTCGAGCCTCATCATTTGGGATTTCGAAAGCTGTTGGCTAATAAATTTATTGCAAAATGACAAAGAAGACAATAAAATGCTTGATACGTTCAGCACTGATTTTTCTGTTGACAGCTAAAATAAGTTATTTCATATATAAATATTACTTTTATATGCCATTAGTACCTAAAACGTATATCGTTTTTTGATCAGTAGATACATTTAGAGTAAATTTTCGTGACAAAAGCCGTATAATTTAACGGTTTCAACTTCAGTTTTTGAAAATAATTCGTTTATTTTCTTCTCCGATTCTTTGAAGCAATTTTACTACTAAACATGATGTGCGGTAACTAAACCGGCAAATCAAGAATTCTTGACGATTTTACCTAAATTGTCTTATCCAAACATGCTTTCTAAACGCGATAGGACTTTTGGAAGAATTTAATCACAATTCATTTTTCTTGCATCCCCGAGCCAACTTTAAATTATTCACATTCAGCACAAAAAATACTAGAAATCGAATGTATATGTCGAAGAAATATAATTAAAAATAATTTAAATTTTTCTTCTTCCCAAATTTGACGAAAATGATAATTTTTACATCAAAACCCTTAAGAATTTTTTTACAAAATCTGGGTTTCCTTCCTGACAAAGAATAATCTAAACAATTCGTTTTATAAAGTTCGCTTCACAAGGTAGCAAGTAGTATAAAAGTATAATTAAAAATAGAAATACTTTTTCACGCAATCGTAAAGTTCTTAAATTATTCTGAAGCCTTTCCCTGCAACACATTAATTAGCAGTAACGGTTCGAATGAAATAAATAATGCAGGAACGTCAAGAACAATAGATCCCAGCTTACAACCCAGCTTTTAGTCTAAAATCAAACATCCTCTATCGGATACCCGACGCATAATTTTCCAGGGCCCATAGTTTCCCAATTTTAATAATTAATTCTGATTTATCGGCGGCATTGCCCACGGCTAATTGTTGATTATTTATTAATTTCCAGCGCCATTGTAATATTTTTAGCAGCTCACAACAATTCTAAAAGACAAATAGACTCGCATAAAATATTACAGGCAAATTACGCGAGCGAGAACATGCATGGGCTGGATTTTGATTTTTGATAATTAATGGAAGTGGAACTGACTAGCGCCGTTTTAATAATGCCAGGACGATGCATTGATTTTAATTATTCATAAAAAGCACAGTTAATCCGAATAAGAAAAATCCATAAAAATGAGCAATCAGTGTTTGAGGAATGCGTGGTATTTATTTAAATACAAATGCCTGATTTCTTGATATTTTGTGAGCGCTTTATGAGCCTCTTATTAAATTTTGGAATGAAAAATGTCATGGAATGTCTGGAAATCATTTCGAAATTTAATTGAATTAATTGTTTACAATAAATAGCAACATTAAAAAACACCTACCTGGAGGAATTATAATTACATGGGAAAAAATTGGTATTAATTGAAAAAAAATCATCATCCTGATTTCAGGAATTAAATATTGCCATGTAAAATCGAGGGTAATTTTTATGATATTTCAAAGGATTATTCCATTTACGGCCAAATAATCACAGATCTTAATGTAGATCCGATGCTTATAATGTACTGTTTGAGAAATATTCTTGCGCAAAAAATCTGTATTCGAAAATTATTCCCATTCAGCCTCTAATCAACTTCCTATAGTTTATGTGACAAATTAATGTTTGTTTTAGTTTATTGCGAGAATAATAATGAACTATTTAGGAAAATAATAGGCCATTGCCGGTTGTGAATACATATATTTGGCGGAACGGTAATGAATTTATAACGGTGTATTTAAATAATTATTGTTGAATGCATGGATAATGAAAATTTATTGAGTTATATTTGATAGTATTATTTGCCCTATAGAAATATGCGATTAACATCCGCATTGTTCTATTGCTAATTAATGACCACTTTCTTGGCTTTATGCATCCATTTGTTCCTGCAAATTCTCCTCAAGTTTTTTTCATATGTTTTATTTCAAAATTTCAAATCATGGTAAAATATTTCAGCGGGAAATAGTAACCAAAAAGTACACATTAAACTCTGAAAAACTGGCTTTTGCATATATATTTTAAGCAAATTTATGAACTGACACCGTTGAATATAGATGGTTCTGAAGTAAAATTGAATTAACCCGCTTGGTGGACAATATGCATAATGAAAACTGTATGAATTGTATACGAATATGATATACTAAAGTTGAAAACGTGTTCAATCGTGAAATGTAACACACTTGAAAAAAGCAGAGAAGATATGAATGAAATATTATACGTGTAGACAGGGAGCAAAAGACGGGTCCTACATTGTGCAACAAACTAAAATGAGATGAAATATGGTACAGGCGAAGAAAGAATACGTG